TGTGTGTGTGTGTGTGTGTGTGTGTGTGTGTGTGTGTGTGTGTGTGTACACCTCGAACTGCAAGTCACTACTCCTGAAATTCAAGTCACAGTGATATATAATTCCAATAAGCTAAGTAACAAAACTGCAGAAGACTCAGGCTCCTCAAAGTTCCAATCTCTCTACCTGCACAAAGGTCCTAATCATGCACGGCTTGCTATTTTCACCAAAATGCACATTTTTCCAAAAAATATTATTTCTGTCTGCATAGGCTGATAAAAAGAAATATGTCAGTACATATTACAAATGCCTCTACTCTTCCTGGTAAGAGATCCGAGGGCTTTAATTAGCTTTTCTGCAGTACACGCAGCATCCACTATCTGGTGCCCAAGGACCGCCATCAGTCGACAGCTGAAGCCATCCCTCACACCCTGCCTTGCAGCAACTACTAGCATAATGAATTTAGAGCCCTTTTTACACTGACAGCAAACCCGAGCCGAGCCGCTTGCTAGCAGCCACACCAGCAGGTCTGTTTCACTTGAGCTGAGAGACCATGGTGCTCTATGGAATGTTTGTATTCTTTAATAGCACCCAGTTAAAGAGTAACAATAGGTGAGTTAGAAAGCAAAGTAAGAGCAGCCTAGAATGAAGAAAAGAGATGGTTCAAATACCATTTTCTCATTAGAATAAAGTAGGATGAAAAAAAGTAGGCACGTCTGTTGTTCTGAATAGTCATTATTAGTAAATATTGACACATGCAAAAAGACATACACCCATAAGATAAACAAATTAATGTTTCAAAAATGTTATCAAGATGAAGGTTAAAAATAAAACTCCCCTTCATATTTCTCTGAGGTAGTCAGAAATAACCTCTTTTTCTCAGTATACAGGCAAATTTTTCTGTTGAAGAAACTTACACAAAGAAGTCAAGATTGTTGATTTACCTCAATTTTAACACTATAAGGGGCCTTTACCTCCAACAACGGGAAAGATCAAAGTAAACTGCTTTGTAAAAATGAACCATTTTGATTTTTAGAGCTGGAATAACATGGGAAGTTTATGAACATAGAGTCACAGATGTTTAAAGCAGTAAGAGACCGAAAAAGAATTCTGACCTCTCTGTTTTAAACCACACCGTGTGTGCCCAGCAGTGACAGCTTACATTACACTTGAAATGCAAGAAATGTCACTGGAAAATCACCTGTGTCCACTTCACCCCATCGTGCAGTTCCAGAGCAGATCTAACCAGGCATCTACCTTATGCCCTTGCCTGGCCTGCTCCTTGCTATGTAGCCCAGGCTGGCCTCAATCTCACAACCATCTCCTTGCCTTGCTGGGATTATAGGCATGTAGCACCATGCCCAGTGGTCACCATATTCATTAGTTAATGAACTGCTCCTAAAACAGTCAAATTGAGGGTTTAGATTCACTGTTATCCACAACCCTCTCATGCTCTGGAACTAGGCTAGTGGGCAGACAAAGAATCACTAAATTTGAGCTTTAGCAGTCAGGATGTATATACACTAGAGAAAAGAAACTAAACTAAGTACAGAACATTTTATAAAGCAAAGAACTGTAGCTTTAAATAACACAATAAACCAAAATTCCCGTCAGAACTACTTTGAAGCACTAAGCTTATGAACATGGACTGCTGGTCCACAGGAAAAGGAATGAAGGAAATTCTTCCAGGTCTATTCAAGTGATTGATGCATTTCACATTTCCATAGCATGCTTTATTAGGTATCTGACTTATTAGGTATCTCAAGGGAAGAGCTTCGTAAAGACCCCAGTCAAGAATCTCCATTACCAAGTTAATGCAGGGACTCTCATGTTTGCTGAGAGCGCAGCAGCAGCCTGACCGGACAATTGTGGCACTCCTGTGGTGCGGAACAGTGCCAGGAATTGATACGGTGACACAGAAATACCTGCAGTGAGGCACCAGCTAATACAAGAAGCTGATTCTTTTAACCAAACCCGCAGCCTATTTGAGAAATGAAATATTAGTTTAGGTGATATATTTCATATTTCACTCTGTTTCTGTTTAAAAACAGAGAACTAACTAGTTACATGGTCATAGAAAGAATTTAGCTACAAGACCAGGAAATAGTTTATTCTCAAATCAGTAAAGCTAGATCCTCACACAAACCAATTTTCCAACAGACTGATAACTAACTCTGCTATATAGAAACAAGGGTCTTAGGAATAATGAACCTATTATCTTCATTCTAAATTCTTTCATGAATACTTCCGAGACAAGGGGCAAACTACAAAGTTCTTAGAGTTTTTAAATGTTTTGTTCTTACTCTTAATCCTATCAAGTCTTTTCATCTGTTCTGATGTGGCTTCAAAGTCCATACCAGCAGTTAAATCTAAGGTCACAATTAACATGCTACAATTTTTCAAAACACTACTTTGAAGAATGTCGCCGCACCCCCCCCCCCCCCGCCAGTGGAAATTCAAGTTTATGGCAACCACTGGCTTAATTTCTGTCCCTAAAGTTTGTTTTCTTCTTGCTTAACATCTCTACTTCCTCTGTCCCTCTCCCCTGATGGGGATTGAAGCCAGTGACTTACACACACTCAAGCACTGACCCCTAATCCAGCGCCCAAAGCCCTTACATTCTTAACTCACAGAATATCACCTAAATGGAATTACTGAACACAAACTTGAGTCTAGGTTTCTACCTGG